TTATGTTGTGGGTCAGGCCCCCAGGGACCAGGACACAGATAAACCGGGACACGGAAAATCAAGGACACGACATCCTTTCTTGCAAAGTCACGTTTATCAGCACCCGTGCATTTTTTGTTGCTGCACTGCAGGGCTCGGGTGTGTGTCCGGGTTAAGGGGGTCTTGCTGGCTTTTAGGGCCCGTGTCTGGGTTTATTCTGGAAGTGTTGCAGTGTAGTATTTTGTTCGTGCTGCCGTTTGGAAAAATTGGTTTCGAGGGATATTGGGTGTCCGGGTCTAGCGTGTCCGGGTCTACGGGGCCCTGAGTGGGAGGGCGGGTGGGAATGGGCATGCCATGCTTGATTCGCTCGAGCTGGCTAGCTTGACTCCTACTCTTACTCCTACTACTGCTTTTACTCCTGCTCCTCCTTGTCCTCCTGCTCGCCGTGCTCCTCCGTTTACTCGTATTCCTCGTGTTCCTCGTGTTCCTTGCTTCGCAGTGTTCCTTCTCCTCCTCCCCGTCCTCCTCCTCCTCATCCTCCTCCTCCTCCTCCTCCTCCTCCTCCTCCTCCTCCTCCTCCTCCTCCTCCTCCCCCTCCTCCTATTCCTCCCCCTCCTCCTACTCCTGCTCCTCCTTCTCCTCATGCTCGCCCTCGCATTCCTCATCCTTCCCCTCCTAGTCCTTCTCATCCTGTGCCTCCTGCACGTTCTCCCCCCTCTTCTCTGCTTCCCCCGACATGCCAGGAATGCCTTCGCACTCTTGATGCCCGTTCCAGGACGCACTCTCGCCAGGGATGCCCTCAAACAATTATGTTGGGCTGGTCCCGCCTCCATCCTCCATTATTTCTTTCTCCTCCGCCACTTCTCCTGCCAAATCCTGTCTCCTCCCTGCTCACTGCGCTCTCGTTCGAGATATCTTCACGATTTGATCAAGCACGGCGCTCCCTCTGAGAAGACCGTGCAACTTACCAATGAATCGTGCTCGCCCTTGGCACCGGCTACCTCCTCCGTCCAGGCCGACCAGACCCATGCCCGAGCATAACTAGGCAACATATTATAATTGAATGGTTCGTTTGGGTCTGACCCCTGCTGCTGTCTCCCTGCTCCTTCTCGGAGCCCAAAGTTTTGAAGATCTCTCAGTCGAAGCTGGCTGGACCACCTCTTGCGCGGCATCTCGGAACCAAGAGTTGCGAGGATGTCTCAAGCGAAACACGCCAGACGACCTCGCGCGCGGCACCTCGGAGCCTAGTTGCGAGGATGCCTCAAGCAAAACGGGCGGGACCACCTCGCGCGTGGCATCTCGTAGATCAGAGTTGCGAGAATGTTGTATGCGAAATGAGCTGGACCACCTCGCGCGCATCTTCTGGAAGGTCAGAGATGCCAGAATGTCTCAGGCAACGCTGGCTGGACCACCTCGTGCGCAGCATCTCGTAGCGCAGAGTTGCGAGGGTGCCTCATGCGAAACGGGCTGGATTACCTCGCGCGCGCCATCTGGGAGCTCAGAGTTGCGAGTATGTCTCAGACGGTGACCAGGTGCCTCCCAGAGCACAATTCGGCAACAGAAGTGTAATCAAATGGTTAGATTGAGTCTGACCCCTCATCCCTCCTCCCTCCTCCCTCCTCTCTCTCGGAGAACAACGTTTCGAGGATGACTCAGGCGAAACGGGCCAGACCACCTCGCACGCAGCATTTCGGAGCCCCCAATTGCAGAATTGTTTCAAACGAGACGGGACAGACCACCTCGCGCACATTATTGCAGAGCCCCGATGTATGAGGATGTCTCGGGCGAAACCTACGAAATCACCTCACGCACGTCTTCTCAGAGCCCAGAGTTGCGAGGATGTCTCAGGCGGACCCGGCCGGACCAACTCGAGCGCGGCATCTCGGAGCTCAGAGTTGTAAGGATGTTTCAGGCGATACGACCTGGACCGTCTCTCTCGCTGCATTTCTGAACCCAGATTTGCAAGGACGTCTCAGGCGAAACGGGCTGGACCACCTCGCGGGCGGCATCTCGGAGCTCCGAGTTGCGAGGACGTCTCAGGCGAATCGGGTCTGGCCACTTCTCTCGCGGCATTTCTGAGCCCAGGGTTGCGAAGATGTCTTCGGCGAACCGGGCCGGACCACCTCGCACGCAGCACCTCGGAGCTCAGAAGGATGTCTCAGGCGAAACGCCTTGTCCCGTCCGACTTGGAAACGAGAGTTGTTAGGGTGTGTGTCTCAGGCGAAACGCCCCACACTACAAACATTGTTTGAGGATGTATGCGTTTCAGTCTCCCTCGGCCGGAACCAGTTTCTATCACAACAGCACCCTGTTCAGCAAGGTTGTTTAGGAACAACGCCTGGGTGATCGATCTTCGCGAATCTCTGCAGGCAGTGGATCTGAATAGATTCGGGCACTCTGAGGCCCAAACATATTCGTATCCACCGCCTGCCGAGGTCCCCGAAGATCGATCTTGCAGGCTGTGGTTATGGACCAATCCCTGCCTCGCGTCCAGCGCCTCGGGCAACCCGAGGCGGCTGGCTCGTCGCCAGTTGTTTGCCTCAGGGGGCCGGCTTGGGGCCCAGGATTGTGCAGCAATGACCTTGGATGAAAGGCCAGCCCGAGGGAATGGGCTGAGAGGTCCGGAGGCCCACGCATTGGAATTATTCGGGCGCCCCGCAGGTGTGCGAAGGCCTCCCCTTTTGTTGCCCCCCCCCCAACCCCACGGAGCAACGCCCGAAGAATCGAAGCGCCAGATGTATGGCTCGGTAGGAGCGACGTGGAGCCCCCCCGGGAAGTGCATCCCGGTCGTGGGGCGGTTGTTGGGCCCGTGCGCGTCCCACCCAGCAGGGTGACCTGGTCGCCTCCGCCGTCGACGTCGCTGCCGCCGTCACCGCCGTCGTCTGTCGCCGTCGTCGCCGCCGCCGTCGTCGCCGCCGCCGTCTGCTGTCACCTTCGCCGTCGTCGCCACCAGACACCCGACGACAGATGTCTTTGTTCAACCTGCGCCCACAGAGCTCCCTACCCCGTCCGCTTTGCGTCCCGCACCCGTTCCTGACCAGCCTCGGGCTCGAAGCGCGCGGGCGGCGAGAGGCCGAAAACGACAACCAAAACGCTGCGATCGAACAAACATACGTCATCGTCGGTCTGAATCCGTCGTCGTCCGTCACTGCCTTCGTCTGCCGTCGTCGTCGTCGTCGCCGCCGTCGCCGTCGTCTGTCGCCGTCTGTCGCACCGTCGTCATCGTCGTCGTCGCTCGTCGCCACCGCCACCAGCGTCTCGCATGTCGCCGTCGTCCGTCGTTGTCGCCGCCGCCGCCGTCTTCACCACCTCGGCCGTTGTCGGTCGCCGCCGGCCGCCGCCGTCGTCATCCTCGTCGCTCGTCGCCGCCGTCGCCTGCCGGCCGTCGGCTGTCTCGGCCGCCGTCTGTCGTCTTCGTTGGCTTCGCCGCCGCCGGCCGTCGTCTTCGCCGCTGCCGCCGTCGGCGTCGCTGCCGTCGCCGCCGGAGCTAGCTGTCGTCCTTGCCGCCGCCGCCGCGCAAGAGGTGCCGCCCGACGAGCCAGCCTGGGGCGCGCTGGCGGGCGCCGTGGCGGAGCGGGCGTCGGCCGGGCGCTGCCCCGGGCGGGACCTGGGCCAGGCGCTGTGGGCCATGGCGACGGCGAGGTGCCGCGAGGAGGGGCTGCGGATCAGCGTTCGGGGAGGAAATGGCACCGATGATACCGCTATACCTTTGCCCCGTTTCCCCCTCGTGGGCCTCCCAGGAGGCCCTCGTCGCCACCGTTGAGCTCGCTTCGAAAGTTTGGTCAGAACGCACCCCGGGACAGGTCCGTGGAGCAGCTGTATCGGTACTGTTTGGTTTCCCCCAGCATCGTCTCGCCTACGGTCACCCACCTTGGCTTCAGGTGACGCGCCGCCAGTTCTTCGCCCACCACGTGCTCGCACGACACGCTGGCCGCGTTCCCATCTCCAAGCCTCCACGTCCCGAGCTTTTTCCGGCCTCCCGCCCCGCGGAGCGACACGCCATCAGCTCGCAAAGCGCAGCGTGTCGCACAGGGGCTGCCGGCGCGCGCCCCGGGTAGCGAACAATTCCCCCCGCACGCCGCGGCCAGCCAGTTTTTGGCTCAGATAGGCCGTTTGAGCACCCGGGCCGCTGGAGCGCGGCGCGTCTCGCGGGTCTGGTCGTCCATTTGGGGCCGCCCAGTCGGAGGACTGGAGGTTGGCATCAACGCCAGTATCGGCGGTGTGCCTTCACCGACGGAAGATGATCCCGATCTCGGTGATGGCGGTAATGTTCGGGCGTCCTAGGTGGTCGAAAGATTACCACCAGCACCAGCCTGGAGGATCATCTGCTCCTGGTGGAGGCCACCTGCTGCGTTGGTGTTGGTGCTCATTTCCAGGCCTCCCACCCGAGTCCCGCCCCTTTCCCCACAGCGCCGGCGTGTCGTCCTGAATCGTTTTTGGACGGCCCCGGAGCCCAGAGAGGGCCTCAGAGGCCCGAAAACAGAAAAGACCTCCGCCCTGATCTTTTCAAGACGTTGGACGTCGGGGCGGCTGAGCTCGCTCGCCCGCGCGCACACCTCCACACCGTCCGCTCCAGCGGCAGCGCCCCTTTGAAAGCGCACCGCAGCGGCCGCCATGGAGGGGCAGAAGCGGGCCGCAGCCGGCGCCCGGGCCCCGCACCTGACCTGCGACGAGCAGGAGGCTGGCCTTCCCACTCCCGGGAGGCTGGGCCCAGGCATGATCGCGCCGCGTCGTGAAGTGAATTTCGAAGGCCTGTCCGTGCGCGATTCTCCTGGCACGCATGGTGGAGACCCACGCCAAGAAACACCCTGCTTGCCTCCAGGGTGCCCTGGACGTCTTGGGTTCCGATCGTTTGCGATGGGAAGCGTGACGTTCCCACGCCAAAAAACAATGGAAGGCCTGGGGTTTCAGGTTTGGGTTTCTGGTGGACGGTTTCTTGTGGTCGGGGCCCTACTGTATGGTGGAGCTTCGCCAGACTCAGGACCGTCAAACAAATCATCGCGAAGAAAACCCAGTGCTTGGGGAGGGGTCAGCACTTCCTGGGACCTCGCATGGAAAAAAACGAGACATCGCGTGCCTGCGGCATCGATCGAAAGACCCACGATTCGGCATCAGCGCTGCGATATCCGTAGTTCAGGTGACGACAAATACACACCCATACCCGTAGGGGGGACGGAGGAGGCTATGGATGCGTGTTGTCAGATGGCGGTCCCCGCTCGAACGGGAGCCTCCCCAGGGGTTCGACAACCCGCACCCATACGTACCCACAGCCAGTTCTCCTCCTTCGGACCCACCTATGGGTATGGGTGTGTGTGTGTGTTGTTCTTTCTTCATCAGGTTCGTCCTGACCTGGCCTAGTGCCGCTTAAGCAATGCGGCTTCATTCTGCCTGATACGGTTCGATCCCACGCTGAGAACCCGGCTCAGTCTTGGGCCTACTCCGTTTCATTCCAGCCCGTTGTCGGCTTGTGGCAGCCTTCAAAAAAACATTGCCGCAAGGGCCTTTCATCAGTTGCAACCTGGAAAGACCCAGACATCCGTCGATGTGATTTTTCAACTCCTGGTCCGAGCTCCTGCCCCCCCTCCCTGGGGCTTGGTTGTCGCCCCGGAACTGTTTTCGACGGCCCGGGGGGCCAGAATCGGGGAAAAAGCGCCCGGATCGACAAGATCATATCGTCGGAGATTTGGGAACGAGGCCGGCGTCCTCCTCTCCGACGCCCAGACGCCAGGAATCGAGGGAAGAAACACGCTGACCATGACCAAGATGTCGCGGGATCTTTTTCGACGCCGACCTTGGTCGGTCCATGCCAGCCGTCGCCGACGAATCGGCGGGGACACGATGGTCACTGACCAAGATCGGCACCGACGCTTCCGCGCACAGCCTCGAGATCCGACGTTGCGGACAAAGTGCAACATCGCGGGCCGAATCGACCTGTGATGGTCCCAGGGCCCGACACCCGGCGAAAGCGCCCAGTGTGAAAAGAATGCAACGCGCGGGTCTCAGGGAGTCTTCGGTTTTGATATCGAGTAGAGTGTTCGTAGACCTACGAAAACTAGTTCACTCTCCATGCTGCTCGTAGAACCGACGCAGAAAAGCAGACTTGGGGGCTGCTCGGTACTGCCGTCGATCCCCTGCTCGGAGTTTTGGCCATGGTCCCCTCCCCCCTCCCAAGGAGGGAGCCCGGCGGCCCGCCCCCCGAGCCGGTGGCCGCCGCTCGCGGCCTTGGTGGCCTTGCTGCTCGCCGGCCTGCTGGCGGCGGGCGCGTCCGTGGCCGCAGGGCCGCCCGCGGCGTGGCGGCGCGGCGCGAGCCTGGCGCAGCTGAGGCGGCTGGGCGGGGCGGGAGCTGCCAGGGGTCGAGGCATACAGTCCAGCAGTGGCGAAGCGTCCCGGCTCGCGGCGAGGTCCACCAGAGAATGTTCCATTTAGGACCCTTTGTGGTTTGCACGAAATGTTCTTACAACATTTCTGGTTGAGTCTGTCTTGCTTCAACACGTCGGGTTCATGTTATAAGAATGTTGTTTCTGTTCTTCGAACATTTCTGGGCTCTATAGACGCGCATCCCGTGGTAGGCCTACAGGAATGGGAATGCCGGGACGGTCGGTCCCTGCTCAATACAACCCATGCAGACTCAGAGGAGTGCCAGTCTGGAGCCGCCTCTGGGTCTGAGGTGGCCCAGCACCCGTTCCAGAGAGCAGGGAGGGGGGGGGGGGGGGCGAGGTTCGAGGTTCGAGGATCTGGGTTCTGGAAGGTCTGGGACCTTTCTCGGTCCCAGGGGTCCCTTTTCGGGCCCCGGGACCGTCAACAACGGATCTGGGGCGAAAAACTGCAGCTCATGGACCCCGGGAAGGATCCGGGGACAGATTTTGATTTGGCCTCATCCCCCCCCCCTCCTGACCGATCTTCCGGGGTCCCATCCAGTTCAAACCCGCGGGCCGCCTCCAAGGCCAGTTATCATGGCGCCCAGCCTTTATCAGCCAGAATGGTGCGTGTGTGTGTGTGGTTTTGTGTGTGTTTTTGACAGGAGAACACGTGTGTAGCCGAAAACGTGCCCGAACTTGTGACCGAAAACGTAGTGCGACCGAACTTGTGGCCGCAATTGAACATCGCACTGGCTCCGAAGCAAACATTTCGGTCACACTCGGGCGCGGTCGGAACATTTCGGGCGCAAGTTTCGGGCACACTCGGCAGATTTTCGGGCACAGTTTCGGTTACTACACTCCCTGATAGAGACGAGGGTGCGTGACAGTTGAGATGACGGTAGTCGGCTCTCGGGGGCGCCCCCGTCGCCACGGCTGGACACAGCTCGGGAAGTTGGTGTGTTTGGACGTTGGGTGGGGTCTGGGGACGGATTCTGAGCTGCCGTTGTCTCAACTCACCCTTTTCCGACAGAATCCGATAGGCATACCTTTTTGGAGGTCCGTGCGGATTTCTCGGATCTGCGCTGGACGGGGCGTTGTATATTTTTTACACTTGGCGTGCTCGCCAGGTTTCGGGCCCCAGGACCAATACATATCAATCTGGTTCGAATAATGCCAAAGCAAGATGGACGCTAGGGTTCCTGTAGTTTTTTTCGCTATGTTTCCAGCTTTTTGGGATGTCGGGCATCAGGAGAAGGATAAGAACGGCACGGCCGGTATCTTTCGGAAGTTTGCACGGATTTCTCGGATCTGCGGTGCGGGACGAATGATCGGGCGTTGCCAGAGTCGAAGTAAAACCCCACCACCTCCCGTGATCCTGGTGGTATTCGTGCTCATGTTCCTGCTCTCTCCTGCCTCCCCGTGCACGCATCAAGATCAGTTGGGGCCCTGGAAAAAGAGTGTCGGCCGCATGATGCTTCACTGCTTCACTAAGTCAATGTCTGATGCAGTTCCGGCCTCGTCTGTGCGCTTCGCGCACAAAGTAGCCGTCCTGTTGGACCGATGTTTTCGCCGCCTGGAAGTGTATGCTTATTGTGCTCACTCATCTGTCCGAAAACAACGCAGTTCCTCTTTTTCTGCTTCTTCTACTGATGTGGCCCTGGCCCGAGGTGTCTCCAGCTCTTTCAGAAAGGTCGAGGTGGCCTGCGGAGCACCCCCAACGAGGCCGAGAGGGCCTCCGGGGGCTCCAAGCAGGTTCAACCAGGGTCGCCTCTGGCAGCCTCCGAGCAGGGGCGAATGGTTCGAGGACTCCAGGAACCCGTCCTTGCGCCGGGCCGCGAAGCAGGAGGAGGGAGACGTCGCGGGCGACATCTCGAAGAGGGGCAAAAGCTGCATTAACATAAATTTTTGGAGCTCCGCGCGGATTTCTTGGCTCTGCGCTGGGCCCCTCCTGGCGGCGCCTCCGGCGCCGCCCCTGGCGCGCTCCGCGCGCCGGGGATGGGAGGCCTAATGCCGATGCGAGAAGTCCGGGCGGAGCTCCGAAAGTTCTGCTTGCTCCGCGGACGACTGGTGTGCATCTACCGCGTTGGCGTCTCCCGGAGCGTCGTCGACCCTCGGCCCACAAATGGTACGGTGCATCGTTGTTCGGCTCCGAGGGCCGACAAGCTATGCACCGCACGCACCGCGTTGGAGCGGAGCCCGAAGGGAGTCCAGTCATGATGGGGTGCATGGGCTCCGGTCTCGTTCCGTCGTCTCGCCCGTTGTGGATGAGGGCGAGTTGAGACAACATCAGCTCAGAATCGGGTCCGGACCCCTCCTGGAGTCCAAACTAGTTTTTGAGTTTTGTCCAGCCGTGGCGTGCGGGTTTCGCGCCCAGGATGGTCTTCTACGTTCCACGGGCCCCACGCGGCCCGCAGCAAATTTGGTGGTCGCGGGCGGGCCACGAAGCGCTCGGGAGCCTGCCCGAACAGGCCCCTCGGGGCCCCGTGGACAGGCTCGATGACAAGCCAGGACGTCGGCACGTCTGGGGGGGAAACTGCAGCCGCGGGCTGGGGCAGTCTGCGGTTTTCGTCCTCTCGCGGGCCCGATCTGGCAGAGTCATGGCCTGCAGAGTCCTGGACTCGGGGGCCCCGGGTGTGGGCAAGACCAGTCCGTCTCGGATAAGATGTGGTCTCCACCGAGGCCAAACTCCCCAAGCAGTGCTTGCACTTAGGGGCTTCTACTTGTTGTGCAAAGGAGTTGGGCAGGTACGTCGGGGTTTCGCGGCGTCGCTGCCCGTTGCCGCCCTGTTGCCGCCTCGTTGCCTCCTACTTGGTTGGGTCCGTCCAGCCGCGGGCTGTCGTTGGTCCTCTCTGTTGGCGGCAGCGCGCCGTGTAGACATATTTTCTGCATGCGTGTGGATTCTCGACCCGGTCTCGAGATTCAGAGCAGAGGCCTTTGGTTCACCATTCGATCGGACATTGTCGACCGCGGCGCTTATGACCTCGAGAGCGCTCAGATCGGCTCACTAGTCGAGCTAAGGTCCCCTCGCATCCCAGACCCCGACGTCATGATGGTTTCATAACGTCGACCCCAAAGGAGTCCCAACGTTCTCGACCCATTCCTCTGGGACCAGTTTTTCATCCTGAGGTGTTTTTTCACGGTCCCGTGGCCCGGTACGGGCCCGCCGAGGCCGAAGGTAACGACAAATTTGCGTCGTGTCTTTTGCATGGCTCGAGGGGATCTAGGATTGATGCCGGTCCCTCTTCTTCCAGCATCGCCGCCACCTGCCTGCTCAGGTGGGGGCGAGGCCGACGTCGCGGTTAGTGGTGGGGCCCCGAGACCCCCCGACATGGACCGGGATCACTGAACCAGGTCTGCCGTATCGGGCGGGTGGTAATGGGGGGGTGACCTACATGGGAGGTGAAGAACAGGAACTGAAAAGGCAGGGCCCTTTTGGGCCTCTCTTGGAGCCAGCAGCGGCCCTAAAGGGCCCTTCAGGGCCCTCTTCTTTGTCCCCCATGTAGGCCACCCCCCACTACCACCAGGCCGCCCGACCTAAAGGGCCCCTTCAGGGCCCTTTTCTTCACCCCCCACGTAGGCCACCCCCCACAACCACCGGGCCGCCCGACCGTAGCTGTTGTTTCTTCGGGTGGGGACAACTCTGGTCAATGGAATCGGGCGGGGAGGGCGGGGGCGGACGTCCCCTGGCAACACGTCCCTAGACCAGGTCCCACTGAACCCACCCTGAGATCCGACGGCGCAGAAAAGTTGAGACATCGTAGAGCAACGCGGCCGGGAGCCCCAGTAGACCCCATCTTTCTGCCACATGTTGCCCGCCGGATGGATCTACATCTGAGGGTCCTGGCGCCCGAGAGCCGGGCGAAAACGACCGGCACGAGACATCGCAGCGCCCGGGGGCTCATGGCAGTCCGGCCGGCGCCCGAGCCGTGCTGCTTTTCCCTTCTTCGGGCATCGCTGCCGTGTACCTGCTCGAGGGGGGCGAGGCCGACGGCGCGGAGGGCGCGGCGGGGCGCGCCGAGCCGCGGAGCGTGCCGCGGAGCGTGCGGGGGCAGCCGGGCGAGGCGCAGGAGGTCCACGGCGCGGGGGGCCCGGAGCGGGCGTTCCAGGATCGGCGACTGCCATGGAGTCGGGCATGCCCCTTCTACAGGAGGAATATGCAAAAACAGGAAAACATTGTCTAAAGGCGATCTTCTATGTTTTTTAATATTCTGATTTGGTTTGAGCATTCTATGGCTATTCCTCTGTTTTCTTCCGAAATCCGCCCGTAGGAGGACATGCCCGACCTAAGACTACAAAGGATGTGGCTACGCTGGGGTGTGGTTTTGCGATCGGCGCCGCTAGTTAGGGCTTGGGGGGCATGACGCTGTCCTCGTCGGGCTTCCTCGGGACGCGGCGGAGAACTCTATGGAGGTCCCCGCCCGCCCCCCAGGGTGCTCCCCAGGGTGCCGGTTGCAAACCAGACCTTTTGCAAACCACACCCTTCGGAGTCGCCGACAGGAGGTGGGCAGCGCAGAAGAGGGCGAGCGGGGGGCAACATTTCGGTCGTTCGGTGGCAGGTCATGGGAGCCTTGTGTACCCTCGCAGCTCCGTCTTTAGAGTGCACTAGCGTCGATATGCCTTTTTGGTAATCGGTGAGATAGCGCCGATTTGGCGTCGATGAGCGTCGATTAGCGGCGCGTGGGGCTTCGAGCGGGCGTTCCAGGAGACGAGCAGCGCGCGCAGAAGGGGGCGAGCGGGGGCAACGTTAGGGGGTGTGGATCGGGCTTCCAGGCTCGAGGTTCTCGCGTCTCGAAATCGAAATCGAGGCGGATGTTTTTGTCCATGGTTACAGTAAACGTTAGACCACATCCACGGGGAATTAGCCGCGCCAAAGCAGTGCGACACAACATTGCAAAGCCAAAGCCATTGAAGCAGACGCGCAGACGGGTAGCGGAACCGTTCAAGCATTTATGTACAGCCATGTGGCCATACCTACACAAATGTTGGCCGAGAAGGAACCCTGCCCACGGTAGCCGCAAAAGCGTTGTGGTTTTCATGATGCATTCGTCCAACACGTACAGCCTAAATACAAAAGATCGTGAACGGAATTTTGAAATAAGTTCGCATGGTGGTGCCATTGGTGGAGGGAAAGAGTCATTCCAATCAAGACCCGACAGGTGTAGGCTGGAACTCGCCCGCGCTCCCTTACTACTGGGCCTCGGCACCTTCAAGAAACAACTCGGAATGAAAAACCGGCACTGGGAAAGTGGTCGTGAGATTGGTGGCTTGTATCTCGACAAAATCGAGACGCCGGACGTCTGGGATGCTCGTGTCGTCTAGGCCTCCCAGAGGAGGATCCGAGTAGATGGGATCGGAGTATCGCGCCGCATCGCCGAGGAATCGCCGATGCGTCTCGATGTGGAGCCTTACTTTCTTCATTTCGACGGCGCCGATGTGTGTGTGTGTGTGTCGCCGACGTCGCCGATGCATCGGGCGAGCTCGGGAACTTTTGGATAGCGTGTCGCTTCGCCGGTTCTGGCCACCACGCTTGGGCGCGACACGCTATCCATTTGCCGGTCCCCCAGCGTCAACGTCCAGAGTTTTTGGAGGCCTCCCGGCCCGCGGAGCGGAGAGACACGCTATCCGCTTGCGAGGCACAGCGTGTCGCCAGGGCCGCCGCGGCGACACGCTCAGCAAAAGTTCCCGACCGTAGGGATGGGATCGGGCTTCGAGGTTCGAGGTTTTCGGGCGTTTTCGTAGGTTCCCAGCCGCTTTCCAGCCTCGTGGTGCTCTCCTGCAGCTGCACCTCGCCGAGAGCTTTCCAGGGGTGCCCGGGTCGCCCCGAACGGCCGCCGAAGAGCCGAGTTATGCTCTGAAAATCAGGGGGCAGCGTCAGGGGGGATAGGTTTAGGGGGGATGCATCCACCTCTAATCGCCCATTCAGGCCACCCTCGCCCTGGACCCTTTGGATTCGCTATCGTGGGCCTATCGCCGATCCATCGGCGATGTATCACCATTTCAAGCTCGATGTTCCTCCCCCTCCCACTCCCCCGGGCTGATTCTTTCCAGGCACCCAGCAGATATCTTGAGAAATAGCATCAACTGCCATGGACTCAATACTTCGCTCAAGAAAACTCAGGATCTGGGCTGGACCCTGGGCGCTGTCTTGGAGCATGTTTCGCGTATAGTGTTATTGTATATCTGGACCTGGACTACTGTCTGAGAAAACGCTTCGAGTGAAGTCCGCTTTCTTAGCTTAATGTTTCCTTATAACTCTGGCTCTGCAGGATCCTTCAAGGTCCGGCCCTCTGGCTGACCCCCGCTTGCACTGACCCCGGTCCCTGAGGCCCCGAAGAGGGGCAGCCGCCGACGACTGCCCGCGTAGCGACGACGAGGGCGACGGCCCTCCCGGGCCCCACGCCGCAAGGGGGCCCGGGCGACCGCGGCGCCTCCGCAGACCCACCGAAGGCGCCGCTGACGTTGCCCCCAGGCGAGCGGGGCCGGCAGGCGCTCGAGGAGCTGGTCCGGGGCCTGCCCAGCTGACGGCGCTGCCTCGGCGCCGCCTGTCTCCGGCGCTGGCCGAGGCGGTCGGGGCCTCTCCCCCAGCCTTCGCTGCCGCGGCAGGGCCAGCGGCTCGGGCCCTGGCCCGCCTAGGGCTTCCGTCTGCCACTGGGCCCCTCTCGCCAGCTTCGAGTCGGGCATGTCCCTCTACAGGAGGAATATTCCAAAACAGTCAAGAAATAGTCTGGTGACGATTTCCCGATTCTTTGTTGACTATGTTTGAGATGTTGTTTCTTACGTCCTATGTTTCTTGGAAGTTCCGCCTGTCGGAGGACATGCCCGACCTAGCGCCAGTTGCCGTCGTCGGCCTCATCCCTATCCTGCGTTCGGTGGCGAGCGAGGGGGGGAAGTGAGAAGGGGCGGGCCTTCTCAGAAGGCTCGAAAGTTCCCCGGCCTTCCGAGGAGCTTCCCAGGCCTTCCCCGAAGACACAAACAGCTTCTCAGAAGGCGTGTGGGCTTCTGAGAAGTCCGGCCGCCTTCTGAGCATGCCTTCTCCTCCTCTATTTCCCCCCGCCCCCCCTTCGCTCGCCGCCGATCTGTGCGATGGGCTCGCGTCGCGCCGGCGCGGCGGCGACCCCGGCGCAGGCGTTCCAGGCTGAATGCCGGCAGCGTTTGGGCATCGGCCGGTATCCGACGATCGGCGCTGTCGGAAGGTTTGGCGATCGCTCGAGGTTGAACGATCCACGCGGTGTCGAAAGCCAGCGCGCACAGGTCGCCGCGGCACGAGGAACGAGCTTGCCGTGTGCGTTGTATGTGCCGTCCGTGCGCACGTGCTTCACCTCGCAGCCCGGCACGGCCGTGGCTCCCAAGGAGAGCCGCGTGGCTGCGCGACCGAGCGCGCGATGGTCTGTCTTGGGACGGGCTCCAGTTTTTGACCGATGTTTTTTGTTGTGTAGGTATCGGTTGGTCCTTCGGCTTGCCGGGGCATCGCCCCGCTCGCCTGCCACTGCAAAAAACCTGCGCCCTTCTGGAAGCTCATGGATTGGTCCTCCGGCTTGTTGGAGCGTTGCCCCACTCGCCTGCCACCGCAAAGCACCCAGAATTCGAGAGCCCCGCCAGGCTCAGTGCAGCAGCTGCTGTCATCCTGGCGCGCGCGGTCGCGCGGAGACGGTACATCACTGGCGAATTTAACTCGAAGATTGCCCCTCACTGCACTGCGCAGCACCTGGCCTCATGGCAGAGCGCGCGGCGCTTGTCCTGAAGGGGCAGTTCAAGGAGTAGGCGCAGGCAGTTCATGTATCATAGTTGCATCGTATTGTTTGCTTCGCTTCGCTGTCTGGGGCCTCATGCTTTCATCAGACGCATATTCGGCTTGGTGGAGCTCCCGTGAGCGTCCCCGCGTGGCCGAAGAGGCCAATTCTATACATCCCGGCAGCGCACAGATGCAGCCAGGAGGCAGAAGGGGAGAGCACAAAGCAAGAGCGCGAGAGGAAGGGACAGACACGACAGGAGGGAGGAAGGGAGGGAGAGGGATTCGTAACCATATATGTGCGCCAGCTGGAACTTCGGTCGACTGAAACCGAATTGGGGATCCCGTCGTCGGCGATTTGGGGGAACGCGCCGACTTCGGCCAGATCTGAAGCGCCAGATTGGCCCCAAACCGTAGTGTGTTTCCGCTCCCGCCTTTGCGAACAGCGCCGACGTTGAGAATTTCAGACACACGTGTCCACATACATGCATGCATACATACATGTACATGCTTACACACATATACCGATGTTGGCGTAAAATGCGATCATCCAAAGATGTTGCGTCGACGGAGCCACCCCCGGGCCCCACATGTGGGCCGCTGTAGGAGTGCAAGCGTCGGCATAATAATCGCTCATAACTCAACAACGCAGACACCTGGTTTCAGGATCGACATCGGGGAAAGCGGCCGAGTCTCAACGCATGGGAGTGGGTTCATCCGTTCGGTGGGCGTTGTCTTACGCCAGCAGCGGCGTTTAAATGTGTAAGCAACGGAGCAGGAGTGCAAAGCGCTCTCCTCTTGCTAATGGCCTGCGCTTCTTCTCCGAGCAGGGCCCCACCGAGGCCACGGCCTCGTCGGCAGCCGCCCGCGGCACGCGCGGGCGCGCAAGGCGGGCACATTTGAAGTCGTTTGTTCATGCTGTGAAGAATTCGCCCTCTGAGACTCCGTTCGGAAAGCTCCTCCTCTCCGGGAAGCTCGAGGCTCGAGGCTTGCGGCTTTCGACTTGCAGGCAGGTGCAGCCGTCGCGCCCCCTCCCTGCGCGCCAAAGAGGTGGGCAGGAAGGGGGGCCTTTGGAAGAAGGTCGATCCGTCCGATGGAGCGGCCGACGAGCGCGACGACGGAGAGGAGGGTACGACACGGGAGGCCGCAGAAAGCACGAACCGAGGAACCCACACTCGAGCGCAAGAGGACGACGAGTCCGCTCCGAGACCCCCGCTTCCCATCCCCCCGGTCCAGACTCCAGAGAGTCCCAAATATATCGAGCTTGAGTTTTTTGTGTGTAACGCATTTTTGGCCTCCGGGGGCCTCTGGCCCCGGAGCGGTCAAAACCCGGCTCAGGATGAAACGCCTGCCCCAGGGAAACGATGGGTATTTACTCGAAACTGCCGCGTCGTCGAGAGCCTGGGCCCAGAAGCGCAGAACCTGAAGGTACAGACGAGCTCCGAGCTGGCAGGTTTTTATCGCCCGGCGAGCGATGCATCTGCACATGCATAGGGTGCGTTCCAGAAAGGGCCTCGCCTTCGAGGATCGAGGGAGTTGGCACCTCTTCCGCGGCAGAAGGCGGCGGAAGTAACGCGAGGGTGGTTCCGTTGGCGGACGGTTCGATCTTCGGAGGTGCGCGCGGACTTCTCGGCCTGGCGGTGGTCCTCCCCCACGGAGGGCGCGAGGGTCGGCACTGGAGGTGGGCTGGGGCGTCCAGCGGCGGCCCGAGAGTTACGCGCGGACCCCCGGAAGGGTATGATCAGAGTGAGGGTGCTGAACGGTCTTGCACCAGCCCTAGGTGCGTGTCTGAAGTGGCGTTTCGTCGGGCGGATTCTGCTTGTTTATTGGGCGTTCATGTCTAAAGAAATGCATCGGTGATCCCCCCCCCATCCAGTGCACATGGTATTTTTGGAATTGGAGTGCCTCTCCCAGGGTTCGCACCCTGCTGTTTTATCAGGAGAAGTCTTCAGGCTCAGATTGTGCCCCCGTCCACCGGTTTACAACAGCAACGGATCCCGACTGATATTTCCTGACGAAATTTAGAGACATCGCGCTCTCGCGTGGGAGATCTTCCCAATTGATGCAGCAATCGCGCTCTCGCGTGGTACTTCCTCGCAACTCATTGAGACGCCGCGCCTTGACACTCAGGAATCACGCTCTCGCCGTGGACTGCCTCACGATTTATTTGGGAACCGCGCTATCGCTAAACATCGGTTCTCGACTCATGTGGGACTCACGCTTCAGCGACCCGGTCGTCTGGGTCCGCCCGCCCGACCGGCCCGTCTGGTTCTCCGGCTTACTCTCCTGCTCCGAACCCCGCTCTTGCTGATCCCCCTTGTGCTCCATTCAGTATCGTTTAACCGACCCCCATCCCCATCTTCATCCCCCTCGAGCCCCCCACCGAAATACCACCCCAGTTGGAGATACACCCCTCGAAACCCGAAGGGAACGGCCTATATCCCCATCTAGGGTGGTGAATCGGCCAGCGGGGCCCAGGCCACGCCGCGAGGGATGGGGATCGGTTAAACGATGCTCATCAATCCTTCTCCCTCCCCCGTTCCCCTTCCCTCCTTCCCCCCTTCCCGCGCTCCTTTCCGTCGCGCTTTCTCTTGTTGATTGTCTCTCTCCTCTCCCTGTGATAGAGGCTGCGCCAAATACACGTGGCAGGTAAGGAAGATCGATACCCAAAGGGGGGCACGATCGAAGACGAAGAGGGCGGGATTCGAGGGTTTTGGATGTACTGTATGATAAACAAACGGCGATGAGAGTGAAGATTCTTCAAATGATTACAGAACTCTCTTCGTGAAAGAATATGGATTGTCGACCCCATCTGCGCGTCAACATGTGATTTTCAATCAAAGTGTTCCTCCTAGGGCTCACATCTCCTTGCCCCTTGCTCTTCCCCACTCCCTTCCGCCTCGCTGCTCTCCTCTTTTTAGTTATCCCTCCTCATGCTGTTTTGAGGGCTATACCAACTACACATCGCAGGCAAGGACGATATATCCACGAATAGGAATTACGATCAAAGACGAGGGGCCAGGTATCGAGGGTTTGGGATATATGATGAGTGGAACGCGCCGGTGTATGAACGAAAAGTCTTGCACTGATCGTTGGATAGCTATTGTTGGTCCCTACCTTCGGTACCCATTGTGTTTCCCAATTGAAGTTCCGCTCCCAGAGCTCGCTCCAGGTTCTTTATCCGGCAAAGTATTAGGCATTAGGCTGCGCTGTTGGCTTTCAGTTTACCACAAGAATGGCTCCCGCTTGATAATTCCTCACAATTCATGCAACATCGCCCTCTCGCGCAGTCTTCCCCCAAGTGATGCAGGAATCGCGTTCTCGCTTGGGAATTCTCGCAATTTATTGAAACGCCTCGCCCTCGACACTCAGGAATCATGCTCTCGCTTTGGACTTCCTGGCGATTTACTTGGGAAACGCGCTGTCGCTAAAGACTTCCTCGCGATTCATGCAGGGCTCACGCTTCAGCGACCCGCCCGCTCGACCCGGCCGTCTGGGCCCGCCCGCCCGACCCGCTCGTTAGGGTTCGCCCGCCCGATCCGCCCGTCTGGTTCTGCCGTTTGACTTCCTGCTCCTAACCTTTTGTTTTTCTTGCTGATCCTTCTCGTGCTCCATCTTTCTCCCTCCTCCTTCCCTTTCCTCCTGTTTCACTTCCTCTGTTTTAGGGGCTACGCCAATTGCACTTGGCAGGTAGGGGAGATATACCCCCAAGGGGGGCCATGATCGAAGACGCAGAGGGCAGGTATCGAGGGCTCGGGATCTACACGTTGAATGACACCCGAGAAGATCAAGATCGAGCTGTAGTACACTGATTGTTGTTGTTGCTGCTGCTGTTGTTGCTTTGTTGCTGTCGTCGTCCCATACTCCTCGACCCACCCTGCGACCAATTCCGCGACCCACACCGCGACCCGCCCGCGACCAACCCCGCGACCCACCCGCAACCCGCCCAACGCCGGGCGGGCCCGCCCGGCCCATCACTCAGATCCGCAGCTGCGGGGGAGTAGGTTGCGCTGTTCTTGCTCTTGTGAGATGCCCTCCTCCTCCTCCTCCTCCTCCTCCTCTTTCCACTGCTGCCCGCGCGCTTTCCCGAGCGCACCAGGATGCGACAGTCGCGGCAGCCCCGCGCCCCTGGCTGGCCGGCCGGTGGGCGCCGAGGGCGCGTGCAATTTTGTGAAGCATTTGAACTCGGCTCGGGTGGGACGAATGGGAAGATGTTGGGAAAGGGGGGGCTGGTTTGGTCTGCGCCGCCAGGCCCTGTCCTCGACACGCACACACACACACCTATCGATGTACCGACCTATATGCGACGCGTTCCAGAGAGGGCCTTGCATTCGAGGATCGAGGGCGTTATCATCTCTTCCGCGGCGGGAGGTCGGCGGAAGTGCATCGAGGCCGCCTCCGCTGGCGGAAGCCTGCGGGAGGGCGGCGGAAGGTGCTGGAAGTAAAAAATGCGTCCTCAAGAGATGACAACATGTTTGGGTTCGGAGTTTCCGAAGCCGGCCACGCACATCTATATATCTATATATATATACACATAAATATCCATATATATATATATATGAAAACAAATACACACATGTAATACATACACATACATGCGTACATCGATCCATGACCTCTTAGCTGCCCTGATACTCCCCGTGCTGAAGCTCACAAAGTGCCGTATTCAAAACGTCCGTGTTAACACGCTGTGGGTTCGCTCGTCACGTCTTGGTCCACGTTTTGGCGAACGTATCGCGTCAGATATGCGTTTTGAGTCTACGTGCCCAGCTCCGTGTCAACACGCTCATTTCAGGTTGCGTGTTTCGTATCGGGGCGGCCATATTATGTGTAGTTGCATATATGTATATGTGTGCATGTATGTATATATGTATATGTATGTATGTATGCTCGTTTGTTTGCTTGCTTGTTTGTTTGCGTATGCGTTCGTGCGTTTGCTTGTGTGTTTGTGTTTGTGTTTTGTTTGTTTGTTTGTTTGTTTGTGTGTTTGTGTTTTGTTTGTGTGAGTGTATGCTAACTTGTATGCGTGTACGGGAGAGTTAAGGTATGTATGTATGTATGTATGTAGGTATGCATGCATGCATGCATGCACGTATGTATGTATGTATGTATGTATGTATGTATGTATGTATGTATGTGTGTGTGTATGTATGTATGTATGTATGTATGTATGTATGTATGTATGTATGTGTCTTTATATGTGCATACGTATATGCGTAT